CAAGCTGGCAAACCGAGATGCCTAGGATTTAGGTTTAGGATGTCGGGGCTTGGCATCTAGCGACGTGGGGTTTGGGATGTAGGGCTTACGGAGAGTTTGCAATTGGGGTCTTGGGACGGGGTCTGGCGGCAATAATTAGAACAGGGTTTTGGGGACTTATTGCAATTATAGCCTCAAAGCCTATTCTAATTACTAAGGCCCCTACAGTATGTCGGAAACCCTGAACCCCGTTTGGGAGCAATTGCCTTAGTACTGAGTCGCCGGCATGAAAATAAATCGCCAGCGTCCAGTCCTTCTTGACAAGGGGCCGGTAGATGGCCTGCTTCAAGCGCCAAACCCTCACTAATCTCAAACCTACACCCCTAAACCCGAGACTCTAAACCACACCCTCCTGCACCCTAAACCTAAAACCCTAAACCCTAAACCCTATACCCTAAACCCTAAACCCTAAACTCCTATACCCTACACCAAACCCCCCCAAACCTTGAATTCCCAAAACGCCCCCAATCTCTTCGGCTCTGGGGTTGGGATGCCAGGCTTCACGAGGATATCATGGGGTTTAAGGCCTTTAGGGTTTCAGGGTTTAGGGTTGAGGGTTTTAGGGCTTTAGGGCTTTAGGGTTTTAGGGGTGAGGGTTTTAGGGCTTTAGGGCTTTAGGGCTTTAGGGTTTAGGGTTTAGGGTAAAAGTTCTGTCGGCTCTGTCTTTGCGTCGCCTGCCAGCTCAGGGTGCAGGGTTGAGGATCTAGGGCTTAGTGCCCAGCTCAAAAAAAAGGATTAGGGCCGCCTTCACAATGGCAATCATCATGATAAGCACATGTACCGCGACAGTGCGCTTGAGAGCTTACGGTTTAGGGCTTCGGTTTAAAAAGTACACTGGGGCCTGGGGGCACTTTGACATCAGCGAGTTCGGCAGCTCGAATCCATCGTTTCTGTAGGGTCGTGCAGCATGGATGAACGCGTCGTACATGGTCTCACAAATCCCCAAGACGGCCGCCAGAGCTTGTATGATCTTCGCGGTGGTCACAGGAGGAGGATCCTCCCAGCGGGAAGTTACCCAACACTTCTGGCAAAACAGCGAGACGAAAGTTCGGTCACTCCTCGACAGCCCCTAAACCCTAAACCCTAAACCCTAAACCCTAAACCCTAAACCCCAAACCCTAAACCCTAAACCCTAAACCAGGCCTCCCTGGAGGCCCGGGGGTCGGAACGATGGGCTCACACCGTGGGGCCTTGCCGACCGGTTCCCCGCTCCGGGGCCTTCGCCGCGACGGACTCCAAGGGCTGGTCCACCCCGAGGCTGTTGTAGGGTTTAGGGTTTAGGGTTTAGGGTTTAGGGTTTAGGGTTTAGGGTTTAGGGCTTAGGGTTCTAGGGTTCAGGGTTTAGGGTGATCTTGAAGCTGAAGGATATCTCAGTACCGAGTGAGAGGCACCTAGCAAGAGGAACCCAACCTCACACTCATCTGCTGTCATGGTGAATCCTCTAATTATTCCTTCCCCTTTTCTGTGCCACAATCCCACAGCAACCCTTAATCTCGCAACCGCAATCCTAAACCTAAAACCTAAACCCCAAACCCTCACCCAAAGCCCTAAAATTTGAAGGCCTCTCTCTGGCGCCTTGTGTCGGGGGCCTTGATATCTCGAAAAGGGTTTGGGCTGCATGAAATACGGTATCATCAAAAAAATACGGTTTAGGGTTTAGGGTTTAGGGTTTAAAAAATACGGAACCCAGGAATGATATTGGAAATTGTTCAGGCTTCTATGTATTGCCAACGTCATCTTAACAGGGACTTGAGCCTGAGGGCTTAGGGTATGGGGTTGTACCAAGGACCAAGGAAGTTCAGTGATGATAGGCGAGGCTCCTTGGTATAAGATCCAAAACCCAGAACCTAAATTAGAAGCTGTAGCGTTTTGGGTCAATCTGTCCGGTCGGGCCGGGGATCAAGCGCTCATGTGTCAATGTACACCCACACCTAGACCCTGCACCCAAAACCCATAAATCATAAACCCCAGAACCCTGAGCCCGTAAATCTAAGAACCCAAACCCCAAAACCCTAACAAAAAAAGAAAAAACATAACAGACCCCTTAAAGGACCCCTTGTTAAAGGATCCCGTAGAGGAACGCAAAAAGGCCCCGTAAAGGAACCCTTAAATGACCCCTTAAAGGAGAAACCCCAAAGGACACCCAACAAGGCCCACCGCCACGGAATCCATGGAGACGAACTGCACCAACGTCATCCTCGGCCCCGGCCCCCCGCGTAGTTTCAGTTTCGCCGGGTTTAGGGGTTTTGGGGTTTAGGGGTTTAGGGTTGAGGGTTTCAGGGTTTAGGGCTTAGGGGTTTAGCGTTTAGGTTTTATGGTTTATGGTTTAGGTTTCAGGGTTTCGGGAAGGTTCAGAGGGCTGGTTTCGGGACTAGGCGTGAGTCGCAGGTATTAAAGAAGAGCTTAGCGGTTGAAAGCTTAGCGGTTTCTGCGTTTCGGGTTTAAGGGTTCAGGGGTTTGGGTTTTGAGGGCTTTCTTTAGGGTTTAGAGTTTAAGGTTTAGGGTTTAGGGGTTTAGGGGTTGGGGGTTTTGAGGTAGGTTTCGGGTTTGGGGTTTGCTAGACAGCAGAATGGCCCTGACTCACAAAAACACCCTGACCCTACATCAAAGCAGACGTCAAACACGCCCATACCAGGACCCTCCTTGTACCCTCAAATAGGGGCGTATGGTCCCAAATTCAGGGTATTTAGGGTCTAATAGAGGGTAGATGGAGGGTCTAGGTACCCACTTCAAACTTCTCACAGCCATGTCTTGAAAGATCAAGGCAGTGAAGCTGCGACAACACGGGTGTGCTGTTTGGGTTGCTGCTTGGCTAGCCCTCACCCGAAACCCTAAACCCTAAACTCTAAAACTCTGAATTCTAAAACCCAAAGCCCCTGAACCCTAAATCCGAAACTCCAAACCTTTTTCCGGATGTCCATAGCCGACTGCGATGATGGGAGGATCGGCGGAAGCGGTGAAAGCAATAATGCAGGGATTACGGTTTAGGGTTTAGGGCTTATGACTCAGGATTTAGGGATCCTAAACCCTAAACCCTACCCCCATGCCAAAGATCTCAACCCGAAGCCGTGAGCCGACCTTCTGTAACAGACTTTACCACCGTAACTGTGCTGTAGTGACTGTAGTGTTTAGGGGTTTAGAGGTTTAGGGTTTAGGGGTTTAGGGTTTAGGGCTGCTGGTTGCAAAGGTACTCATATATTTCTCGTTTTGCCTATAGAGTAACGTGACGTATGCGGACGACGACTACCGCGATGACGACTGATGGCTATGCCTGAGGCGAGCACAATGACTATTACGACTACCAAGACTACTGGAACCACTGCTGGTACTCCTTCTCCTTCGTCTACTACTGTGTCTATGACGACAGCAGCCGCTGGCAACAACGATGACGAGAGCAAGCGCTGGCCTTTCTTGTAGTGTCGAAAGGTCTGAGAGTTCTCTATTCTGAAGGCGCAGCCTATTTTTCCGGATGTCGTCGGCTTCGTGGAGTGCAGCATTGCAAACCGCATCGTCGCAATCCTAATAAAAGTAGAGGGTTTGGGGTTTAGGGTT